TGTGAATATAAAGAAGTTCAAAGTAAGAAAAAAAAATCTAATAAAATGCAGGATCCAATCCTGCATTCTGTTTCACTTAAATTCCCCAAGTTCAACTGAAACCAAAGTAATTTAAGGCTTTCAGTACAAGAGCAGTAGGTTAGGGGTCCAAGAATGAAATCTGCTGCTGCCATCCCAAATAGAGCAAGCAGAAGAGATAGTAACGCTAAAATAGTTAGAACTTACCCACACATTTCCCAGACAAAGAGAACCCACCACCATGACTTCACAGCCATATTCTGAAAACCATCGTGCTCGTTGCCCTTATGTGGGGCTTTCATACTAGAACACATAATGCCTGCACCTTTGCCAACAATACAACAGCCAGACTTTTTGGAACAAAATAGTTCACATGGCATTAGCTAATATAACGGGTCTTTGGGCCTTTTAGTAGTTACTCTGAGCACAGGAGCAACTGATGCTGTTAAACATCTGTCTCATGCACCTGACAGTAACTGAAGAACAATTATAGAAGAGGGAGACATTTAAAGGATCTCTTCACTACCCATTAAAAGCTAACACAGCAAGTCGACAGTAATAATGATAAAGATTTTGAACACAGCCACAGAAAACAACACAGCCTTCATGACAGTCATCATACAGCCAAATGATAAATATGGAGTCTAATAACTACAAGAACTTAAAATAAACATTGCTCTACACAAGATACAGAGCATGACAGCCAATACACCTGACTAGCACAAGTAGCTGAATCAACTCCACAGTGACTGAAATCTGTACTCAGTATTAGCAATTAGACAAGGGGAAACAGTCTTCCCAATGCTACGTACTAGCATGAGAATGCAGTGGCCCATTCTCGGAAGTTCTGTGATAGCAACGTCCTCCTTCCCATGCGAATGCAGCACTAAGTATTCCCATATATACTAGCCCACAAGGACACATTCAACACTTACTAGGTTTCAGGAAATGGTAATGTCCTCTTACCTCCATCCTCTCTAAGGCTAATGGAGCCTTTTTGATAGCAATAGGTGGGCAGAATAATTCTGGGGAGACTAGGTGGAGACCTGAAGTAGGATGGTAAGAAACCCAAATCCTTAAACTGACAGTTAGCTTGCATATACTGCTATTGTCTCCTCTTTGCCAAACAGAATATACTTTACAATCATTGGAAAAATGGGGTTAACATTTTGCATAAGGACTTCAGTTATTAACTGGCTCACATTAACAATCAACTAGGCTAACATAACAAACAATTCTTGTTACTCAAACTGGCGTCATTGTAATGAGCTTCAAATTAATCTCATCTGTACACAATCACTAATGTTTTGTGCCAAGTGAATTTTTAATCAGAACGGAGTGAATCATAGGTTGTTTTTAAAATATATTTCTAATACTTGTAATTCAAAATGAATAAACACTAGAGCAGAGAAGAACTTTTCTATTTACATTCTGATAAGCTGATTTTATTTATGCATACTATACCACAAGTATCAAATGCATATGATAGGCGAGGACATTTTTAATGAAAATAAATAAATATGTTTATTTCTAATAATGCTTTGAGCATGAATAGCATTACCAACTTAAAGAATTTAGCCCTGTGACTGTAATTAAAATTGTATGACAAACCAGAACAAAAGGAACAGTTGCCCCTCTGTTGAGTTGCTCCTCAATGTCTACATCATTCTAGATCAGAATGCACACAATCAGACCCTGTGACCAGCAGAGTAACTACTTCTGGTAAGGCATGTAATGAAGCACGTATTTTGCAGTACTGAACTTGAGACTCAACCTGAGTTTCAAACCAAAGTAACTTTAGTATTTGTGCAAGACATAGAAGGAAAGCTGAGTTTCAACAAGCATTTTCAACTTGATTCTGTGATTGCAAGATCAATTTAACAAAGCAGTTGATTAGCTCTGCTTATAACAAGAGGGTTCAACATATCACCCCAATGCTGAAATACTGGCCCAACCATTTAGGAATTCTTCTGGGGGAAGATAGCATGAAGTCTTCACCTACAGCATTGACTTTTTAAAATGCAGTATTTCTGGAAGCTTGTTTTAGCTGTCTGGCAAACAGCTGCTTAACTGAACACCTGTTACCATGCTTAGATGAAAACCTAACTTGAAGGTCTGCCCACGGCCATGGAAACTGAAGGAATGACTGAAGTTATCTGCAGCACAGTCATTCAAATGTCTTCAGGGAGGTCTACTGACAGTCGCTATTAGAGCCACACGAGCTTGAGGAATCTGGAGTACCTGGTTCTCATTTCAAGCTAAGTATAATGACTGACTCAAGCCACGTAACAGCATGTGATGACTTCTGCTTGGAAAACAAGACACTCAGGCAGATGAGAGCAGTGCAGGAAGGCTCAATGTCAGAATTCCTACAGATCCAGCAGCACACATTACTTAGAGACTGCACTGCTCTTTTAATACCATCTACATGCTTTTGTGCATGGCAGATTATGTTTTGATTGCCAGGAACTGCTGCATCAAAAGTATCTGAAGATTGCTCAAGAGCATTAAATTATGCTCAATGTGCTAATCTACTTTTACTTATAGTCAGTGGGAAGATATGTTAACATATTAAGGAATTCTGCTAATATCTTAGAATTCAATTAAAATTATCTTCATTAAAGAGCTCCAAGATCTGTGGAAAAAAGGCAGTTATTCAAATACTTGGTATAATAAGCAAGTTATTCGTAATGTAATGTTCTGAAGAAAAACTGCAAACCATGTTGAACATTAAAAGGCAAATGCAAAAGCAACAATACACCATATAGATCATAGCTGCACAATGGAGATAATGCACTCCGATACTGTCAGGATGGACTGCAGGAGAATGACCAAGGACCTTATGAAAAAAGGTTACATTTACATAGTGAATACTATAGCAAAGCATAATGACCAAAGGAAAGCTGTTGGCTTGCAAATTTCTTTTTTGGTTTGTTTAAAATAGGCTGGTTAATATCTCATTATGTATTAAGGAGCAAATGGCTCTTCAAGCTGCTTTCCAGTGGAGAAGTGGAAGTTTGTTCTGTGCTTAGGCAGAAGAAAAGCAACACTCCCAAAAGACAAAAGAAAGAAAACTAAGGATGTTTTTATCCTTGCAGGTTTCCCTGGGGATCACTAGTGCTAGTGACATCTTTTCACATGAGAAATATGGCACTATATCACTCTCGGCAAACTTCCCCATCTGAACAGCATTTCTGCAAGATGCTCCAAATTATCTTTATTTAATATCTCATTTGCTACTTGTTACTAATTTCAGTTTTCCAGCACATTAAAAAGTGCTCCTCTGCCTTTAACATCAACTGCAGAAAGTGGTTGCTAGTATGAATACTTCTCACGAGGTTGTAAAATTGTGAAACAACAAAAGAGAAACGGGGAAAATAGGAGAACTGAGTGTGAAAACAATTCTAGAATTGTCATATAAAAGAAAACCTTTTCTATAAACATGCCTAACAAAATAGCTCTTCAGCAGCACCATGCCTCCCTCCCAAAGGAGTTTGCAAGCTTAACAGGGAAGTGAGCGGGGAAAGAAAAGAAGTAAGACATTCAACTTTTAAAAATTGTTAGGTATGCTAAAAATAATTATTAAAACTCATTCTTTTAAGATTGTGTAGTTTCTTAATATAACTTAATATGAAGCGAATAATGCTAAAACCAAAAAAGAACGCATCTGTCATGTCACATGACAAGGACATGTTCAACTCTGCAGCCACTGCCTCATGTTCTTCCGCCATAACACCTGTAGTCCCGCACCCAACAAAACAGCACAACAGCCTCTGACTGACTTTGGGGAGCTCTGGGGACATGCTCATAAAGCACAAGAGAGGCTGCAGGAGAGGACTATGCATAGAGCCTCCCTCCTGGCAAGGCTCTACACCAGGGGAAGCTGGATTAAAAGACACTTTCCAGGTTTATGTTTATGCCAGTGACTCCCATATACCCTTACAGGCGGCCTATAAAATGAAATATATTTGAAGTGTGAAATGATTTTTGGTCAACTTTCTAATAAAGGTCAAAAATTTAGAGGAAAAAAAAAATAAGTAAGTGAGATCATGACCTACTGTGTGGGTGACAGAGCAGGAATTACAGCAGAGGTCTCTGGCAAAGGCAGATTTTCTGACACAACCACAGGCACTGGACACTTATTGGAAAAAACATGCCCAAATCCTCTTGACAAACAATACTGTCAACCCAGAAACAAAGCTGCAGGTCTGCAAAGGCAGCAGATTAGAGCCCAAAGAGAGGGAGGGAGTAAAAGAGAAAAACACTCTGGGTTTCAAAATAGCTTAATATGGCTTTAGTAACTACTAGTAACTTCTGAGAGCGAGAAGTATTTCAAAAGTGTAACCATTGTTAGCTTCTTCAAACAAGGCTTTACTACTTGAGACTAATTTTGAATAGTGAACAAAATGCTTGGTTTCAGGTTGTGGTGTTTCTTCTTCCATAGTAATAAGACTATGCAAAAATATTTTCTCAAGTTAATTTTTGACCCTCCCACCATTTAAAAGGCCATTTCTTTGTCTTTATGGTAACACTAACACATATGAGCAGATAGCTTGCTTTGACACGGTGGTTCTAACAACATACAACTTGGTTTTATCCTTCCTCATAGGAAAAAAAAAAATGAGACCACTATAAAAAATTGTGCTACTTTTTCTAGAACAAAATGCTTTTTAAAGACACAATTGACCAATTCTTTTTGCCGAGACAGATCTTTCAAGATGGTCACATATTAAATAGACATCTTTCTAAAGATACTCTGAATAGTTATTGTGAATGTCATCTTGATTAAAATATTTTTATAACCCCCCACATTTATGGATTCAACTTTAAATCACATTAGAAGACAAAGTGACATAAGAGTGAGATAAAAGGTGGGGCTTTTCTTTATTTTGCATTGTTAGCAAATTCCTATTGCTGAAGCTATTCTAAAAAAGCCAAGTCTCTTTGCATGGTATAAGGTTCTCAAACAGTGAAGTACTTACATGCAAGGCAGAAGGATCTGGCAAAAACTCAGCATCCTCTCCAAAGATAAAATCTGGTGGCAGGTCAGGATAGTGAGCATTGAAAATTATATCCCCTGAAAAGTAATAAATGAAAACACTGTTTGCACTTTTATATATGTCCTTATAAATAAGTAAAATATTGTACATATTATACACCTTTTTAATTTAAAATTTCATAGCTACATTAAATATATTTCATGTATATATCCATATAATTTTCACAAAAATTCACATGCAAGATAAGCATCAGATGTTTTGGGGGATGAAGTCAAATTCCTGAGGCACAGCTTCTTCCTCCTCTGCAAGCAATGAAACATGAAATACATTATTGCTTCACATCTCAAATGGCAATTCAAACACTATTGAGGGTTGCCTCCAAACACTAGAGATAGAAAAGTGATCTTGTTTTAAAAAAACTACCACTTTTAGATTGCTGTGTTTTGCACATTAAAGTCAAATGCAAATTACTAAAATGAGGATTTTCAAAATACTGGAGCTTTTAAAACTTAGTAGCACTTACTCCCTGTTCTCCTCGCCACCCCCAACTCTTACAGGGAAGAACACGCAGTTCAATAGGAACCATTCCAACTATCCAAATTCTGGCCAAGAGAAATGCAGTATTACGCATTTAAATGGAGAGACTAAAATTAACTAAAAATATAAAACTTCATCACAGCTTGGCACTGAGTTCTCATCTTGCCAGTGTCAAAAGGCATACAATTAATTACTGATGTGATAGTTCAAAGAATTTTGGGTTGTATTATTTCACTAGTACACATACTTCAGAGTTCATATAGGCCAAGAGGTGGTCATCTGCATGTGAGCTCTTAAAAAAACCAACACCTACAACTCAAGAAAAAAAAATAATTGCATCTAGCATTACTTTTCTACCTCCCAATCACTCTTTCGTCTTTACGAAGATATGAAAGAATAACTCCAAGCTTCTGAATAAAGCAGATTTGTGAGGTAGCAGGCATTAGAAGAAAGAAGTCAGTACCTACTATGTATTACCACTTGTTTAAAATCTACACAGCAAAGTAAAACCAGTGTGGTAAGCATTATAATATAAACAGTTCAGAGAAAGTTAAATCACTTTTTATTGCTTCAAAAATTATGAATGCAGAACTGGAGAAAAGCATTAGATGAACACATGAACACTTAAAGCCACATTGCTGGTTCAGTGATGTCACCATCTCAAGACATTGAACATGACAGTTTTAATTGCTAATATTCTGTAAACTTATCTTCGCTCTAGCTGGAAGCAAAGATGCTGTAAAGATTAATTTGCTGAGGATGAGGGCTTATGACCAAGAAGTCAATGGCCAGTCTGGGGTAGGTATGCTCTACAGTACGGCTCCAAATCATGAACTCACTGATCATGCGACTCAGTAGAGCACAGTGTGGGTTTCTCCTGTCTGCACTCCTGCCTTCCTTTCTCAACTGTCAGGAGCACGTGTAAGTACGGCATGCAAGAAGTAACAGATGTCCGTCAGTTAAAATACTCAACACAGTCAACATAAAATCAATCTTTTATTTCATTTAAAAGAAGATCAAAACAGGCACCAATCCTAGAGGAAATTGCATGAAATTGCAACAGGAAATGCACCTATACTAAGTAAGAGAAAATAATTACCAGACTGCCTAAACTGTAATATAGCAATGAAGATTTCAGAAAAGTTGATGTTTACTAGACTGGATAGTTCCTATGCCACCATAATTCAACCCTTTTCTTCATATTTACTACAATTAAAAAGTCACATATGGCCAGAAAAGTTGATGTTTACTAGACTGGATAGTTCCTATGCCACCATAATTCAACTCTTTTCTTCATATTTACTACAACTAAAAAGTCACATATGGTTCCTTACAACAACCTCACCAATTTCTACATACAGAGCAGGCAACTCTTGAGGTTACATGTTGAAGGAGAGAGCACCTTAATACATTCTTTGACTGAGCTTTGCTTCCTAAAGAGGCATGTTATGAATAACTCAGATCACAGCACAATGAAAAAGCTTGGCCTGTGATTTAGGCAGCCCAATGCTACTCAGAAGGAAAGAACTGTATCTGTGTTTTTGCCATGTTCTTATGTGATGCTAAAAAACTCATTTAACACACTTTTCATATTGCAGTTGCTAGTTGCATGCTTTTCATTCTCTTTTTTCTTTAACAGAGTTGATGAAACACAGTACACATCAGTTCAGCTCACTAGAAGCTGCACTCCAACTACACAGATACTACAAAATGCTGCTTAGAATAAAAGAAGGATCAAAATAACTGCATTTTTTTATGTTATACCTCCATATCTGATTAGCGAAAAATTATCACAGAATCTTACATTACAAGGTGGCTCCAAGACTCTGCTCAGAGTAGTGAGATTGGCAATAAACTGTATTCACCTCTGCAAGCTCCACAGTAACGGGTGAACCTCAGGAAAGCTGTGACAGTAGGTGCAATGTGAAGGTTTAAGCAGGTACAAACTCTTGTTTTCCCCAATGTTTTCAGTGCTACAGAAACATGAAGAGAACTCACAGCAGCTCCCAGAACATTATCATAGGCAGTGCTCAAGTATGACAGTAAATTAAAATTGGCATTATTAGTTTAAGATGCCAAGTGGTAAACTTTTACAATTTGGGGTTCAGGTCAGCTTCATATCCCATGCAGTGATTCCTGCCGTGGGACCAGGGCGAACAGTTGGAGTGGGTAACCCTCTTTGGCCACTCAGGCGTGATGCGTGGTCACACTGAGGTCAGGCACATCCCAGCTGCAGCTGGCCAAACCCATCTATTACCTCTCTCACATGCTCATAGTTCTTCTTTACCACCTTCTGTCACACCCCTTCTTCCACTGAATGTTAGCGGCATATCACTCCTTATCCACAGTGAGTGACCAACTATGCAGATACTTTGGTTTAAAAAGTTTTCATGACCTACTGATATCAAGGAACTATTCACTACAAGGGACAGAAAACAGTCAAAATTAACATTGTGATATTTGATTTTCTGTTACTATTACTTGTAATTGATATAATTGCTTCTACTTGCCCAGGGTAAACATGCCTCAAATGCAAACTCCCAGGTCCCTTTAGTAAAAAATCATTTTGAGACCAAATATACCAGCATTAAAGCCAATGTGTATCTCAAGATTATTTTTCCCTATAGCCATTTTCCAAAAGGCTATACAGTACATGGCTGAAGGGTTCTCTAGGCTTCAAAATAAATAAAATTATTATTTCAGCACCTGTTAACCATACAATCACAAAACACTAGTGCTGAGACCATACTCAAAACATTTTACAACCCCACGGTACCTAAAAAAATCATGCTGCTCTTATTTTCTAAAACAGAAACACGTAATTTAACGAATCATTAACATGCTCTTTCCTACAGTACTATAGGTTTTTATCCAAATGTAAACCCTAATTTATTCTGCTACAATCGAACCTCACACAGGCTGGGTGACAACTAATAAAAATGTTCAGAACAAAACGGTGATTCCATTTCAATGTAAACTGTTAGAAAAGAGCAGTGCTTCTCTATCATCAGTGGTTTTCATCCGGCAGTTAAATACAGCGTTTTACTATTGAAGATGTTAAGATCTGACCTTAGAACAAATTTTTCACATATTTAAAAAGGAAAAAGCACCCCCTCACAGTCAAATCTTATTCCAGTAAGTCTCACTTCTGCAATGAATCCAAAGATATTCAGCTAGTTGCTAAAAGAAAAGAAAAAAGAACCTTTCTTTCAACCATATAAGACATTCACCCATGTGATCCCTAGCCTCTGTAACTTTTCTGCTCCATGCTCTCCCCTTTCATACAGTTTCTCTTATGTCTTGCTTAATTTACCATACTAGGGCAGAAAAAGTAATACCTTTGACTCTAGAATGCTTAAGCGCCAAGGAATGAGTTTACCCTATTTGCAACTAGGAGCATCAGCTGTTTTCATAAGTTATATATTCTCAACAAAAATACACCACTACAAATCAGACTAAAGGTTGAGGGAATTAATTCTAAATCTGAGTTTTGTTCTTGTTAAATACAGCAAACCAGAGAAATGAAAACTGCAGTTAACAGTTTGCTTGGCAGGGCTACGACATATAAATGAAAAAATGCTTCTTTACACTCAAATAAAAGGTATTTAAACAATCACAACGGCCAACGTAACAGCAAATCTGGTTTTACTTCACATAAATATTAACATTAGTTTCTGCAGTGAGCTTACAAAATAGAAGCTGTTAAATATTTTGAATCACAAGCTACCAAATTGTCCTCACCTAGTAGAAATATCCATTCTTTCAAAAACTACCTTATTTAATACTTACATGATATTTCCTGTGGCTTATCCTCTTCAAATATAATTGTGCTGCACTAAAAACATAGAATTTTCAACCAACAAAGCCATTTGAAAAATTATTGTGCTTAGAGTCTGAGAATGGTTACCATTTTAATTTTGAAAGCAAAACCACAAAAAAAAAAAAAAATCAATATAGTCCTGCATTCTCTCCCCTCCTTCTCGCCTAAATGGAACAAATACCCCTTTCCTTGCATCTCCAGCACATCAGTATGTAGTTCCTCATATGTTTCAACTCTGTTTGCCCTTATTCAATTGACAGAAGGCAAACCCTGTGGTATTCCACAGTGCTATTGACCATGACCATTCCATTGTAAGTACAAGGCAAGCAAAACCTTCACACTCAGACCATATTTAGCTCATTCCTGTAGATATACGAGCCAACAATTACTTCAGTGGTATTACATTTCCGATCAAAGACTACTACAGAATTTAAAATTACTTCAATAAAGTTAAAGCCATGGAATCAAAGATAAATTTAGAGGGGGAAAAAAAAAAGGGATGTATTATACATCTTTTGCTTTTCATTATCCAAAAATATTACTTTCTCTTCCTTTTCTCTCCCCGGGCAAACAGCATTAAATTTTGAAATATTTTACTTTACAGGATTTCAAAAGAAAAGTGAATATGCTCCCAATAGACAAGAAGATACAAATATTAATACTTAAAGCTATCATTTCTTTTAACACACACACACACGCTGTTCTTTTCTCATCTATCAA